AGCGCGGTGCGAGGGCTGAGCGCGCCCGGGTGGCAGCTGTCCTCGCCGGGGCGTGCCTCGGTCTTCCGCCCCTGGGCAGCACAGGAGCGCGGAAGCGTTGGGCCGGTGGCCTCGGTGGTTCCCAGCCCTTGAGAGTACAGCCGTGCTGCGCGATAGGAACGGCAGCAGCGAGGGCTGCCCAGCGGGGAGCCCAGCCTTTGCTGTACTCCAAAGCTATGTACTTGTTTGCTGTCCTTTTCCAGTTGCAGAAGATGCATGTTAGCCACCCTTAGTACTGGGTTTGGTACGTGGAGGCGTGATACCAACTGTATGCTAGCACCGTGTTGGCCGCCTCAAGTCATAAATTGAGTATGGGCACACTAACGGAGGTACAGCCTCTCAGTCTGGCCAGAATCTGAACGTATTTGTGGTCTTGTAGCTTTTGATCCTAAGTGCGTGTTAAAGGAATGGTAAAGGGTACAGTCAAAAACATGTAGGCATCAGTGTGTATTTTGTCAAGCTATATCATTGTGATGGTACAAGGAGTTAGCTGTTCTCGGTCCTTTATGTCCGTGTCATGGCTTTGGACTAACAGACCAGTTCATCTGTAATGCTTGAGGATAGATGTCAGACCATATGGAGAGATATGTTTTTGTGTTTTGCTCTTGTGTGTGCTTGAAGAGGGGTTGTCATAGTTCCTTTTTGAATGTCATTTGCTTTTCAACTCACTCTGTTGGTTTTCAAAATCTTGCGCAGGTACACAAAAAGCAATCAAGAATGCTATCTTATCATTCATCTAAAAGTATATACCTTCATACCCAGGTTAAGAAGAAAATAGCAAGCATGCTATCTTTCTTTCTTGGTGGATAGCATAAGTGCTTCTTAGTGTGTTACAATAGGGGATCAACTTTCTTTTTATCCATGTTGATGTATTGCTTCCCCTCAGAGGGGTTGCCCATTTTATTCCCTTGTCTTATATTGCCAGCATGTTGATACAACTTTAAACAGAAGAGAAATTAGAAATGAAACAGCTTGTTTTACAGAAGAGATCTGGAATGTGAGGTGTGATTTTAGCTCTTTTGTAAGTAAGGAGGATTCAAGGGCTTCTGTTTATTTCAGTTCAATATATTCGTGGCTTTTAACAGAGGGACACAAGTTGTTAATAATGTAGCATCTGAATGATACTTGTGAAAATCTTGGCCTAAGCCAGTTGTCTGAAGTTGCTCAGTAACTCTCTGGTAGAGCAATAGAAAAAGAAACAGCTCTTCTCTTTCCTAGTTCACTATTCTGTGAATAAAATTCTTTTTTTTTTAATTTGTTTGTATCAGAAGACAAGGATATTCTAGATGCCTGAGTCATCCAGGGACTAAAGCTGCATAATTCTTTGCATATTAGCTCTGTGATATAGAATATGAGTATTTTACTTGGGGGGGGTGGAAAGGTCTTCAAGGATCTACTTAATTTATGTGACAAATATGTAATTTATAATTCTTCATGTTTTAACTTTTAATTCCATTTTACTTACGCTTACTTTCAACAGCAATTACAATATGCTTCAGAGGTGAAAGGCAAGATTGTTCGATTAATGAATTTAAGAAATGCAGGAACTCTGAATGACGCAAGGTAAATTTTATTTTGAAATGTTCAAAATTGAGTCGTCATACCTGGAAGTATGTAAAAGACGTGTAGATGAGGCGCTTAGGGACATGGTTTAGTGGGCATGGTGGTGTTGAGTTGATGGTTGGAGTCAATGATCTTAGAGGTCTTTTCCAACCTTAATGATTCTGTGATTCTGTATGAAAATATCGTCTCTGCATTTTGAAATAATTTCTAGACATGGTAAGACTATCAAACTAGTGTAATGTTGATATGATGTTGTAAAGGAGAAGTGCTGTTTCAGTGAAAAGCATTTTAGGTGAAGTTGCTTAGGAAATAATTCATGTACCTAGCTGTCTGGCACCATTTCAAATATGTCAGGGTAGGTGAAATTTCTGCATGTGCTGAGAGGGTGTGACACAGTACCTGACAGAGACTTCTCCCCTTCTGATGCAGCAGTTGGAGGCCCAATGAAGGAGATAGCTAAAATGGCTCTTCCCATTAAGTACCTGAACTGCACCCTGAACCAGTACATGAATCCTGCCTAATCCTAAGGCTTTCCGTTCTCCACGCCCTTAGGTGTTTCTGTGATGTCCCTCACATAAGTGGCATAAAGTATATTTCAGTAACTGGCTAGCAAGAAACTTTTAAAAAACATTATGGTCTATATCATCAACTGAAAGATACTGAGTCACCATAGTTCGTAGTGACTGTTGTATCGCCATACCCATTAGCAAAAACTGAAATGATTTAATTGAATTGTCTGTTGTTAGAGACACCCACCTACATGCTCAGTTAAAAGTTGACACTGATATGAATGGAAAAACTTACATGATTTAATACATTCAGTAATTAAACTGATCTAGACTTTGTTCCCACTAACGTTTTCGACTTATTTAAAGAGGATAACAGAAGCAGTCTCACAAGCGCTGTAAGCCTTGCTTAATGGCTACAAGGGTGCTTTGAGACTTTCGGAAGAAGAAGGTAATTGTATGTATTAGTTCATAAGCACATTTTAAATAACGTCTAATTATCAGGCTGTGTTGGTAATTCCAGCTGAGAACCCAAATGCTGTACGTAGACATGGCATGTGATACTGATGTTTCTAAACTGCTTATAGCTACAGCGAGTTGCTTAGAGTCAAATGACATATGCTTCTAAACAGGAGATGCTTGTCTCTTATTTGTAGAGTTCAAAACTAAGTAATTCTTGCACAAAGTCCTTTTATGAAAATGCCTTATTTTGAAATTTAACTCTGTTCTCTTAGTACACAGGGCTCAGTATATCTAAGGAAAGAAGTACATATTCCTCAGTTAAGAGATCTCTACTACCAAAATTTCAAAATTTCACCTCCATTTATAAGGTGTATTGTTACCTACATTACCTTAAGAAAAATGACCACTTGTTTTATATGATCATTTCATGGTTACTGTTTTCTCCAAGGTCATGGTCTTGGTATGTTCTTATTATAGGGGAAAATACTGTCTTCCATGTTTTTCCTCCTAATTATGTCATTTGTAGCTTTTTAGATGAGACCACTTACGAAAAACTGGCTGAAGAAACACTGGACTCCTTAGCAGATTTCTTTGAGGACCTGACAGATAAGCCTTTTACCCCAGAAGATTATGATGTCTCTTTAGGGGTATGTTTTAAACATTCTATTACCACTGTAATTATTGTAGATTTTTTTTTTTTTTTTTTTTACTTTGAAGGAGAATTTCAAATTAGTCACCTTAGTGCCAACACTTGAAATACAGTGAGTTTTTAAAGCTTTATTATTAATATATGCACGATTATACTGACTGGAGCAACTATTCTGGTAAAAAGTAACACATGCTATTGTATGACTTGAGGATTTAAAATGTTTAGTGTATAGAGAAAGACATAATACAGAATAATAAATGAGCACAAGAGGAGACAGAAACTAGTTTCTGATTTCACAGTGGTCTATAAATTTTTGTAAACACATAGACCTCTGGCATCAGCAGTCACTTCCCTCCCGGTGAATACTAGGACAGGCCTATGTGGCATAGTACACGTACATCACATGTAATTGGTAGAGCAGTTTCTTCGATTGCTCTGAATACCGAGAAGCAGCATTTATCTTGACCAAGTAGAGTACGTTTGTCCTCGCTTTACTGATGACAGCCTGTGGTGGAGAGAAGCAATGAAGAAGAGGATGCAATGTTTGCATAGGTGGTTGCAAAAGTGAGACCAGAGCATACATGGGGAGGTGGCTACTGTCATGAGAGGCATTGGGTGGCTGATAATTGGAGCCTTTAAAGGTCAGCCACTCAAGTTCGTTTACAGGAGTGACAGACTCAGGTTAAAAATGTCCATTCTATTTGTATAGGGCGTTTAATAGTTTTATATACAATTCCTGAAGTGGTTTGTATGTACAGCCCTCTCCATGACTTGGAGAGTGCAGTTTCTCGCTACACTGCCGTCTGCAACACAGGTTTTCCACTATTGCATTTTTTTGAGGTCACATAACATAACTGCTGCTCCCTCTTCATGTCTTACCACACGGAGGTTGCTTTCTACTAGCCCCGTCAGGTTAAGATTTTATGCTCAGGGACATTGAAGCAGATGGTTTGGGTTGCACTGTGGAAAAACAAAACAAAACAAAACAAAACCAAACCCACCACCAACAACCAAACCCCTGTAGTTTTCAGACTTGCTCCTGTGTAACTTTGTCATCATAATGTTCATTCTTTATTTCTTATAGCTAGGATAGAAAATAACGTATTGTTAGTTAGATTCTGTTATTGCCCTTGGCAAACACTATTTGTTGGTTTAATTAAGTCTGTAGTTAATATTACAGCTAATTGCTTTTCTGGTGAAAAGCAAAGAATTGTTTAACCATTACTATTCAGTATGTTCTAGCATATCAGCGCCTACTAGCCTGATTAAAAGAGCGTAGCACAAAAATTATTATAATTTACCTCTTTAATATTCTTATTATTCTTATTATTCTTCATTACATAAAGGTGATGAGTCATCTTATGTCAGAATTTTATCTCCAGCCACTGTAGAGTGGATTGTGTTTGACATTGACTCACTGTGAGGCTTAAAAGGAATTATTTTTACATTGGTCTTAATTTTTACCAGTACCCCTTGGTTGCATAGACTATATGATGACATAATAATACGTTATCGTTTCTGTTAAGAGCGAAAGGTTGAATAGTCCCAAGTTTACCAAATTCCAAACAAGGCTAGTGCTATAGCAAGCCACAAGGTGGCGAACGTGATAAAGATCTGTTATGCCTGTGAATTGTTATGAACTTGATTTCTTCATGCAATTTATATCTTCGTGTCCAGGGAAAAAAATCTCTTTCAAAGAATATTCTTGTTACCAGGAGCTAACAAACATTCATCCATTATTACAAAACACATACAGTACTATTCCTTAAAATATGGTAAAAATATCTTACAATTCAAGTTCTTGAAAACTGAAGTTGTATTTTCTAGTATTTCAAAAGTATTGTAAAATGTATGGGAAAATGTTTTAAACACAGCATTAGAAGTTAACCTTTATTTAATTTGCAACAACAGAGCAACAACACTCTCCAACAGCTGACACACAACATAAGCAATAGTACAATTTTTTTGTTAACTCTTTGGAAACCTATTTACTTACAGTGTTTCTGTAGCATGCAGCATAACATCATGCTGAATACTTAATATAGCACTAAAGAGCCCATAGAAGAATAGTGAAACCTTTATATTGCTATTCAGACCTAATTCCCCAACCTGCTCTTACTCTGCTGTATCTTTAGAGATCTAAGACTGCTGAGATACAGAAAAGTTTGAATTCTGACAATCAGAGAAGTAGCTTGTTCTTGACCTTCTTTGCATTAAACCAATATCCAATTAATGGACAACCTCATAGCAGTATTAACCAGAGGAGCCTTTTATTTTTATTTTATTGATCACAGCTATAAATCCCTTAATCAAGCACCGAAACAGCATGGAAACTAAGGTAAAAAAATCAGACCTTGAGAGTATTATTTTATGGCTGATGAGCCTTGAGATGTGTCAGAAACCAGTAATGCTGAGTTACTTTGTAGGGTAAGGAAGCTTTAAGCTGCTGCCTGTGCTACAGAGTAAGTTTGCAGGCAGTAGGTACTCATAAATGAAAGTATTTTTTTCCCCACAGTAATTGTTTATACATCGCAAATAGCCCTAGCAACGATAGTAGCTCTAGTAGTATCTTCTGACAAAAGCATGAAAAGTATGATTTCTTAAAGAAGTTTTATTGTGCTATAGGGCATGAAGGATTTGGGAAACTGTAGATTAAAGATGATTAACCTATTACCTGAATCATCAAACTGTATTCTGTAGAGATACCCTTTTTTATTAGCATAATTCAGATCCTCTGTAGGTTAACTCTAGTCCAAATAGTGTTGTTCTTTTAAAGTAAGGACAGAAATATTTTTGTCAGAGTTATGTATGCTTTTCAAATGCACTTGTGAAAATGTCAGAGAAATGTGAATCATGTTGTCAGTAAGAAATGTGAGTAAAAAAGGTAAAATAAGTGTTTCGTAGGATAATGGTCTAAAGTTGGCACAACTAAAACCAGACCTCGTGGTGCTTAGAAGTGGAACATTTTTGAGGTATGATTCAGGATCTAGGCACTTCATTAGAATTACTGGAGAAAGAATTGTGTTTATTCACTGGGAAACAGTTGCAGTTACTTAAGAAAAGTAAGGTAAAATTGCATGGCTCGGGAATCTAGCAATGACACATAAAGCTTCTTGACTTTGAACCACACCAGTTCTGCATTGTTCATGAATAGAAAAAGTTGTTACTGGATGATGTTTTAATGGTTGCAAAATGAACTAGTAGTCCTTTCAAGATGACAGGTCAAAGCTCAAGAGTATTATTTAAGTAGTGCCATTGTGAATGGTGAAAACACACTAAATCAAGCTCTGACCAGAAGGTTTAAAGTCTAGATCGGACTCAAAGATATGCAGGTTGTCCTAGGTATTAACACAAGTTTTTGATACCTAATGATCATTCTTCTAAGCTATAATTATTTGAGAAATAGTTGGGAATGTGATACAGATATTTAAGTTTCTGTTTATCTACTCCAGATGATGTAATTCTTGTTGAGTAACAGGATGCAAATTTTTAATTTCTCACTTACTTTCTTTGTGTTCTAAGAGTGGAGTTCTAACAGTTAAATTAGGTGGAGACATGGGAACATATGTAATCAATAAGCAAACACCAAACCGGCAGATTTGGCTGTCCTCACCCACTAGGTAAGTTATGTGTAAGTTAGTTATGTAATGTCTGCAGTCTGGGTGGAAACGTACTTCTCCGTTTTTTATAGCACGGCACGGACTATGTAATATCCTTTTCATAAGTAACCCTTTTACTCAGTATATTCTCAAAACATGATATAATCTAGATGTTCGATAGTAATTTATTATAGAGGTTTGAGGCACAGTGCAGTATGCTGACGTACCTAAATTAATACAGAATTTTCATACCTGTTCTGGTCCAAAACCACTGTCTACAGGAATATAGCCTGCTCATAGAAAAAATAAACAGCCATGATTAAAAAAAACCCAAAGCTTCTGTTGGAAAAAGAGTGATGATGATGTTATGATCTAAACCTCTCTTTGTGTTTAAACAGGGTGGCTCCTTCCCCTTCAAGCTTGTGGGATTTCCTGCTTTATATGTTTATGTGCTCTCCCACTGGTTGTTTTTGTCAAGCATCTGCACTTTACGGGAGCCTTGGCTAGCTGTTCCCTCTGCCTTCTCTAATGCTGTGGTTTGATCCATTCCAGGTTTTCTGGTTGGTTTCAGCAGGGAAGGCAGCCAGATATGTGGGAAAATGTTGTAACTGTCTCCCCAAAAAATTTGTATTCTCTGCCACTATCCCCGGGGAAAGAACTGAGGGAGTTGGTCAGTGTTACTGATGAAGGAACCAGCTACCTGGACGGAATGAGCACTCCCAGTAACTATGCAGGTGTACCTCTTGAATGTTGTTCAGAAAGAATGTAGTAGTAGAATTCTGTAGTAGGGTTTGTGTCGGGGGAAAAAAAGGGCACAATGGAATTTAAGATTTTAAAAGAAACAATTTTAATAGACATAAAATTTACTTAAAGAAAATTCTAACTTTTCTTTAGTGTACTTAGTACTGGCTGGTGCACAGCATACTAGGTTAGTAATTTTTTTCTACTAACTCCTCTCCTATCCTAGAATCCTTTTATTAATTCAATAATTTACTTAACAGGTACATGACTTGCTAAGGCACAGGCCTAGCAAGCTAACAAATCTTTTTGTTTAGACAGATGCAGGCTGTGTGTCACAATTTATTCATTCCATATATTTTGCAACAAATATAATTTCTGAACCTTGATTTTGCTTAAGATGACTATACGATTTTTGTGTCACTGACACAAAGGTTTCACCTATTTATGAAAACCAAAATTCAGAGAATTCCTATCTGTTTGGAACCAACTCTAGATGAGCCAAGACATACATGCTCCAGAATATAGAATTTGTGAAAAAAATGTTAAACTTTCCTTTTTTTTTTTTTGATTGCTTCCAGTAGTGAATAAAAATACACAAGGAAAGAGATAAACTTGAAAATTCTGTGATTGAAATCATCTGTGATGAAAAATGATTCACCTACAAACATTAAGTTTTGTGCTTCCTTAACTGGTATTATGGTAAACAGTGGTATTTCCTGAAATACGATGCTACATGTTCACTTACTTCCTAACTTCTGAAAAGCAACTCCAGCAAATACTATATGATCTGGAGTGACATATTTCTTAAGTATAATATACTAGGCAGTGAAGGAAGCAAATGTTACTGCCAGTGATCACTTGCATTGAATGTTATGTTTGGGAAATTTGTACAGTAAATGTAGAATCGTCAGTCTTTAAGAACATATCCCGAGGGAGACAAATTCTTAAGATGTGAGAGACACGTTTTCTTGAATTTTTTTGACCTTCTGTTTGCTATCATGCATCTGTACACCAAAATGAACTTAAGCTTGTGTTTGTAAAGCTTTACTTGGTTGACAGTTTAAAAAAAGAGGGTGAGGGGGTGCGTGCAACTGCCAGCAGTGTGATTGCAGTAATTTCATGTAGCTCCTTTGACTGAAAAGACTTTTCAACCTTATACAGCATCTCTTAATAATACTGTAATGTGATATTTTAATTCTTCTCTTTCACTGTTTAAAAATGTATGCAGACTTTCCATGAGAAATATATTTAGTCTATATTTAACTTGTAGGCATTTTATAGAATTCACAAGATCCTTGCTTAAATTATTAATTTAAATGAAAAAAAATCACATTTGTACAGCATTTTGGAGATTCAGAGAACTATGGAGGTGTTTCATATGCTAACCATATGACTGATATTTACTATATAACATTTAAAACCAGTTCAAATAACTGACACATTTCTTTTTTTTTTGGTCATTGTTATTAAATGGCCTGTCTTAGCCTGATTTTCATGAATGGCTGCATCCCATTCTGTCATTCTCTAGGTGCAGGACGGTATAAACATACGCTTGCGCTGCAAAGATGAAGAAGTGAGAAATGCGTAGTAAAGTAATTGGAGCACATAATCTCGATTCCAAATAGTTACCATTTCACATAGAGCAAGTGAGATTTCAGTGGACGTGCCTTTGATCTGTGTTTGCATTTGTGACTTCTCATAGTTTGGTTAGTGGTTCGAAAGTTCTTCACTTGAATTTTGCAAGTAATTCAGGATATTCAAGGTTCAGATTAATGTTTATGTTTGTAGAAAACCTGCAGATAGTTCTTGTGTATATAGAGGATAGTCTGTTTTCTAGCAGACCTTGTGGGTGTCTGAGTTCCAAGGCTTTTTGTCCTACGAGTTCAAGGATAAAACTGATGGTTTGTCTGTTTATCCCAGATGACCGTTTCATTCCTTTCTCTTTTCTTAGTTTCTCTAGCTGATGTTAACAGTAGTGAGTGCCTTTCAATCATTCTCCTGTTTCAGATGTGGAGAACTGGGTGGATAGAAAAGTCTGGAATGGAACCCGGGTGTTCAAGTTTCTTTCTTGATACTTAATGTAGGCCTGAAAGATCAAGCCAACAACTATATGATAGCACAGAGGAAAATAGCATCTTAAATATAAATCTCCCGCATGCCGATATATTTGCTTTCAGCTGGTAAATTCTTTTGTTGCATCTAAAAAGAAAGTGAGAATGGTGATCTGTGTTCTGCTGTGCTTAGAATATCTGCATGTGACTGCTGCAAGAACTAACCAATAGCATTAATTCAGCACTACACAAATATCCCTTGTAATATTTGTGTGCCAGAAAATTATACGGGTGAGGGAAGAAGGGGGTAAGGGACGAAATCGGGGAAAAAAGCAAGAAGGGAAGGAGGGAGCTTGTGTCCGCTGGGAGTGACTGATATATTTTGTCACCTTTCAGATATCTGCTGGATAGCTCAGCAGTTCCTGGCAGATCTGGCCTTTTCTGCTGCATTTCCCCAGACTGCCCACCAGTCCTTCTCCACGCTGTCTGTTTCCTTTTCCTGGCACTTTCTGGGGTACATTATAAATACAGGTTTCCAGCAGCTCCCCACGAATAAGCTGTACTTACACAGTGTGTGTTTTGTTTTCTAGTGGGCCCAAGCGCTATGACTGGACTGGACGGAATTGGGTGTATTCTCATGACAGAGTATCCCTTCATGAACTACTATCAAAAGAATTTTCAACAGCGTTAAAAACTAAATTGGATTTGTCCTGCTTAATATATTCTGGGAAAGAAGATACTTGATGATATTCTACCTCATGGAAGTTTAAAGACTTTAAACACAAGCCAAGCCCTTCCTTGGTTTCTGAAGTACCTGAGCTTAAGTCTGTTGCTGTTTTTCTTGACATCACTATGTTGTGCAACAAAAATGAAAATAATATATTTTTCTCTAATGCTCAGTCTTTGGATTTCTATGTCACTGCTTGAATCTGTGTCCATGTGGTATAGATGGTTGAGGTCGCCCTTCCTGTCACGCATTTCTTTCTTACTGCAGAAGTCAGTCATGAATTCTTACTGCCTGTAGTCTTGTTTGGATGTAAGGACTGACCCACCTGGTGACTTCTGACCAGCGCACAAATGCTAAACAACTTTTGGTGAGACATTCACCCAAAACAAGAAATGCCTGCAAATCGCATTGACATAAGCTGTGGTACTGTGAATGCATTGCATTGAAATTTGTGGCTATTGCGAGTGAATAATGCATTACAGTCAAATTGAACATGTCATAAACGAAATTACGGTGGCAGATAGAAACTTTTCATTTTGTGTAATGCATGTAATAAGAGTTTTTCTCTCAGTATTGCAGAACTTGCTCTTTTCTCCAAATTCTAAATTCTAGTTTCTTTCACATTAGGATTTTTTTTTTTTGAGCTAAACTTTAAATTACTTAAAGGTCTGTGTGGCTGTAAGCATCATATGGAACCGGAAAGGCTGGTATGTTGATGTTTAAGCTGCGCAGCAGTATCTCTGCAAACACTCTATTCTGTTACTGTAGATTTCTCTTTCTGTTCTCTTTTGTTCCTCAAAGTGTAAAAATACATAATTTATTGACCTTTTTTTTTCAGTTGAGCAAAATTAAGATCCTCTCATGGTAGCAAAAATTTGCACTAATTTTGTTCTGCTGCATTTCTTAAGTAAGTGGGCTTAGATTATCTTTCTTCACCGTGATGCAACAAGGCTCCCCTTAGTACCGTCCTTTTTGCTTCTTAGAATTGAGTATGGTACTTAGGCTGATGAAGCTGTCTTTTTCAGGCTGTTAAAAAAGGAGAATAAAGTAAATTATATACTCTGGATCTTAAACCAAAAAATTTTAAAAGAAATCATGAACTGCAAGAAGAACACTTTAACACTTGTACTGTTGTATTATTACCACTGGTTTTTAATTGCCTATAAAATGGAAGCACAAAGTTGTTAACTAATTCTTGATTGTACCATACTCTTAAAAATTGTTTATCAATGTATGAAAAGATGTTCAGTGCAAACTATTTTCTTGGTTCCTCTGACACTTGTGATTAGTTTGGCAGGATTCTCTGGCTAGCTAGAATTATTACAGATGTGATTAATTTTGTCATTGAAGAACAATACCTATATAGTATTGTTGCCCAGTATTTGCATTTAAAGTTTAAGCGTTGTTACCTGCAATTTCCCACCATTAAATAGAGAGTAAGAGTTCACTGGAAGCAGCTTTTGGTTAATTGTGCACACTGTTTGTGTGTTTTTCAATCAAAATAAAAAATACTACAATTATCTGAAATTTCAATTCTACTGGATGAGGTAAATACAGTGACTACCAACTCGTATGAGTACAGGAGTAAGAGATGGGTTTTTTTTAACAAAGGAAAGCTAAAAACAGAACATCTTTTTACTGTTTTGAATTTAGAACACTGAAAATAATTTACAGCATATGGAAAACGATGGTATTTAGCTCAATCTCCTAGTAGTACAGATAACTATTTAAACACATCTGTATAGATGTTAACAACTTTATATTTGAAACGAGGATACTTGAAGGATATTGGTTCTTCCTTTGCCTGATCACATATAGCTTGTGTAGTTATTTTTCTGATTAACTTTTCCAAAAATTATTTTCTTAAGTAATTTGCATGCAACATACTCACCAGCATGCATCTGATTCGTATTTGGAGGTTCATCCTCATTCCCTCACATCTCATGCAAAAGTTTATACCAAAATAAAGCTGCATGTAGCATTCTTAATTCATTATGTAAAGGTGTGATGATGCAGACATGCATATTGTTTTGAATTCCTTGTGTTTCTTAAAACACTTACTGGAAAGATTCTGTTCAAAATTTGGCCAATCGTGGTGGATTTTATAAGAGCACTTCAACTTTCACATCTGACGTGCCTTGCCCTTCATCCATAATGCTACTGCTATTTATGCAAACAATTTCCTGGTTTGAAGTAGCTGAGTTACAAATGGATTTAATCTAACTGGTGAAGATAAATAGACTGGTCAGTAAATTAGAATGAGTTTTATCTCGGTGTACAAAATGAATCATAGGACGTGACTCATTTTTTGCTCTAATACTTGCATCGAAGTGTAAGTAAGGGTAAGGACTCTGTCAGCCATCATGCTCATACAGTGGAGGCACAGGACGAGCTCTGATCCTAATGTCAGACTTTGCATATTGCCCCAAGACACATAACTCTTCCATACTATTTTTTACTTCTGTAACTTACTTGCATAAGCAGATTGTTCTACGGTTACACACCTGACATCACATCAATAGTTTCTTGCTTCACCTCTCCCAAAAGAAACAGCTGATGGAAAATCCTTTGATATATACACTACGGACAGTTAGTATCGATAAGAACTATCGCGTTACTGGCAGCATTTTTCCCACAAGACAGTTGCTCCATCTTCAGTGAAGGAAAACATACACTACCTCTCCAAGACAAGTATTGGCATTTGTAGCTGTACTGGATGCTTGGACTCAGCAGAGAAAGTGTTGGGTTTTTTCAGGTGTATCAGAGTTTTCACCAGTAGCTGATCACTCTGATGATGATTGTATTTTTCTGCTTCTGGCCTACAGCATGTCTAACCTTGCTAAAATTCATTGTTTCCTGTGTGCCAGTGAGTTTTTTGGAAGTCTCGATTGATTCAGGTAGTCAAGTTAAGCTTACACTAACTGCTCGCAGTCTGTATTGGTCACAAAATACTACATGTGTTTGACGGGAGTTAGGTGGCTAAAAGCTTGCCTGGTGTTCGTTGGTTCATTTTCCTTTCCATTGGTGATAATTCTTAAGAAACGTTATTTCTTCCCTGCAAGACTGTTCCATGTGATAAAATCATCCCGTCTTATTTCCTTAAAATTCCTAAAGCCTTTTAGCAGCTTCAATAAATGGGATAAAGACCTGTCCTGAAGAGCCGAATAAGGGAAGGGGGATTCGCAGGGAGGTTTGTGTTTGATTACTTTTAGCTTCAGGTTAATGGTTGAACTCCCTGATGGTGCTAACCAGCTCTGGAATGTGTGGGAGTCCTGGGAAGGAAGGCAGCGGCTTGCCAAAA